CTTCCCCCTTGGTGGTGCGGCACCGGACAGAGCAGGTTGGTCAGTGATTCCCAACTTCGTTGACGCATCGCCGGGCAGAAGTGTCGTACTAACTGAAGGTTCTCCGGCGGGGCGCGCAATGTCCGCATCGCCAACATCACCAAGCTGTGTAATTTCGGTCGAGCCTGCATTCACCTCCTCATCTGCCGCGACAATATCCACCGGGCATACCGGATGAGTTCTAGGTGAGAATTCAGCAACGACGTCGGCCAATGTCTGGGCTTTTATGGCAGTGCGTAGCTGAAACTTGACGTCAAACTGTCCCAATTCAACCGCCCACTTGAGAATTCGACCGGAGAAATCCGCTCGTTCGAACAAAGCTTTGAGGGGGAACTCGGTCAAAACGATGATGGTATGAGCATGGAAATAGTGGGCTAACTTCCTAGAGGCCATAATCATTGCCAATGCAAGTTTTTCTAGTGGCAAATATCTCGACTCTGCCGGTAGCAAGGTTTTGCTGACGTAGAATATGTGGAGGTGCTTGATTCCTTCTGATTGGACAAGCACCGCACTGATTGCGTGTTGAGAAACGACCAAATAAAGGTAGAGTTCTTCGCCAGGTTTCGGTGTGACCAACAGGGGCGCTGAAGACAAATGCTCCTTGAGCTCGGCCAAAGCGCGGTCACATTCTTTATCCCATGAGAACTTTGATTTCAGAGCTTGAAAGAAGGGGCAGCAGCGATCTGATGACCGGCTTATAAATCGGTTAAGCGCGATGGCCATTCCAGCCAGATGCTGTACGTCCTTAGCCGAGCTAGGCTACTTTAATTCTTGTACGGCTCTGCTCTGTGTGGGGTCTGCTTTGATGCCTCTGTTTGTGACTAGGAAACCTAAGAATTTTCCGGATCCCACGCCAAAGGCACACTTAGACGCATTCAGGCATAGCTTGTGTTGTTTGAGAAAAGTGAACATCTCGGCCAAGTCGGACAAGTGATCTGCTTGATGCCGGCTCTTAACCACCATATCATCTATAGAAGCCTCCATTGTCCGGTCTAGCAGAGGAGCGAACATCTTGGTCACCATCCTTTGAAAAGTTGCCCCGATGTTCTTCAAACCAAAAGGCATGACTCGGTAGCAGAAGAGTCCCCTCGGTGTAGTGAAGGAGGTGATCTTGCGATCGGGGCCATGCATGGCAATCTGATGATAACCGCGGTAGGCATCCAAGAAACTAAGCCTGTTATGTTCAGCCGTTAAGTCCACAAGCTGGTCTATTCTGAGCAGTGGGAAGTTGTCTTTAGGGCAAGCTCGGTTGACGGTCTTGTAGTCGACACAAAATCGCCACTTCCCATTCTTCTTGGGTACAACAACTGTGTTTGAAATCCACCGAGGATAGTGCACTTCCTGAATAGCTCGTGCCTCAAGCAAGTTCTTGACCTCTTCCGTAACTACCTCGGCGTGATGCAACGCCGATCTCCTCGTTCTCTGAATAACCAGCTTTGCACTGAGGAAAACATTCAAGAGCTGGAAAATGAAACTCGGATCGATGCCGGGCATGTCGTAAGGCGACCATGTGAAGACTTCGATGTTTGCCATCAAGAATTCCACCATATCGGTCCTTTCTTGGGCGGTAAGGCTTGAACCGAGCAAGAAGAACTTGTTTGGAATTTCTGTGTCAATCCGAACTTCCACCAATTCTTCAACAGCCTTGTCCTCAGCCTTGGTGCCCACATCGTCAAGGACTCCTCGGTTTTCCGGTCCCTCAATCATTTGGACGAAGCCTTTGGCAGCTCGGCTCCCGTTGACTGCCGCGAAGCATTGCTTCGACATGACTTGATCGCCCCAAACTTCCTCGATTGCCCCCATAGTCGAAGGGAATCTCATCACCTGGTGGTAGGTCGACGCTACAGGCTGCATAGCGTGAAGCCATCCCTTTCGAAGGATCAGGTTGTATGTAGACAGCACTTGCAATACCCAGAACTCCACTTGCTTGACCACGGATCACGCTTTGACCACCAGAATAATCTTTCCTAAAGGCCACTCAGGTTGTGAGTTGAAACCAACCAGTGGTGAAGTTGCCGGAGCCAAGTCTGTATCCCGGAGCTTGAGCTGTTTGAATGCATCGTAATACATGATCTCGACCGAGCTTCCCTGATCGATCAAAATGCGTTTGACATCGAATTCTTTGACGCGCAGTGTGACCACTAAGGCATCATTGTGCGGCGTTTGAATGCGCTCTAGGTCCCTTGTAGAGAAACTGATCACGTCTTTTTCTTCGGTCTTGCCCTTTTGATCGCGGGCTGGACCGACAAAACTTCCCTCATGTGCTCCGCTTTCTTGATCATACCTCGGAGTTAACATACACACGTCGATTCCACAATGCCGTGGATAATATTAACAATGCCCTGAGGGGGTGCCTCCAAGTGATCTGGTCCACGCGGATCAACTGGAGCAAGATGCGTGGCTTTAACACCCCCCATTAATGTAAAGGTCCAAGTGTCTGGCTGCGACTAGCTCCTCCAAGTGTTGCTTCAGAGGCAAACAATCCTTTGTTCGGTATCTGCGCTCCCAGTGAAATGTGCAGCGGTACCATAGATTGAAACCCTTCTGCGCATCGCCTAACTTAGCAGGAAATCGGACATAATCCTCGTCACGGATTTCACTAAGTATGTGATAAATTGGAATTTTAAAAACTGTGGTGATGCCTGTCTTAGCTTTCAACCTTCTGTTCGCATTAGCTATGTCGTCACGGGGGTATTCATCTCGGTCATTCCGTCGACCCCTACCCCAGTTTCGACGATTTGAACCACGGTCAGATTCCTTGGCGCGATCATTTGAACGGTTGGTCTCCTGTCCAACCGCGTGCACCTTGTCAGCCAACCTCTTGTCTGTTGCTACCGGAGTTGCCTTCGTGGTAGATACTACCGCATCATCTTCTACTCGGATGTGCTCGTTGATGCACTGCATTAATTGGCCCATGGATGTCGGCTGGTGCATAGTAAGCGAGTCCCGTAGCCTATGTCCGACCGGGAGACCACGCTTATATTGAGTGATTGCCAGGTTGACTGGGCAGTCCAAGATCTCATTGAAAGTTTCCCAGTATCTGCAGTTGTATGCCTTAAGTGTGTCGCTCAGCTCCATCTTGACACTGAGAAGATGGTCAACTTCCTTCGGCATTTTGGTATTGGTCTTGAAACGTGTCACGAAGGCTTCCGCCAACTGTTGTCACCCTTCGATGCTTCCCTCCGGCAACCTCTCGAACTATTTTAAGCCCAGCTCGCCCAAACTTGACGGGAAGATAAGGCATATAAGAGCGTCATTTCGCCTATGTCCGGCCATGACCTGTCGGAAGTGGCTTACATGCATATATGGACAGGTTTTTCCGTCATAGAGCGTGAACTTTGGCTGGTGGAAGCCCGTCGGAAGCGGTGTTGTTTCTATCTCCAGGGAGAAAGGAGTGGCGCTCAGCCTCACCAAGTCTGTGTCTAAAAAGAGAGGCACAGCTAGGCGGGGTGGAGGCATTCCGACCTCTTCATTGGCGTGAACCCCATAGGATAGCTGCTGGAATGTCGGCACCCTCTAAGCCTCCCGTCGGTGAGCCTGTTCCTTTAAGACTACCCGTAAATCCTCTGAACGAGCGGAATAAGAATACCTCGACGTCATCGCCAGACGTGAGGGTTGATAGGTGCTGTCTTGCGCACTGGACTTCTCTACGTGCGCGTCGGAATCTCCAACCTTGTAACTTCTGGTGATTGAGATGGACGGAGTACGTCGCTGGCTCTGACTGCCTGAATGGCGGGGTTGGGTGCGCTCACTGTGGTCTTCCACTCCAGCTACACCCTTCCTTTTTGACATGCCGCTTAAGATCCTCCATCTCCGCTGTCATTCGCCGGATGAGAGTGTCTTGGTCCCTTAGCTTGTGTTCCAGTCGTCCGACATGCGATTCTCTCCACCGCCGGTGACCGTCTGGACTCCATGAATGACCAAAGCTTCTTCCGCGCTTATCCCGTGTGTCTCTTGAATGTCCTCCTGGAGAAGTCTCCAGGTCCGCCATAAGAAGGATGGCAGGATATCCTTCCCTCCGTCTGCCTGACTTCGAGGTAACTCTATCGATGCCTGACAATGAAATCTCGTCGTTGTTTGCCATGGACGGTGATCAGATGAGCTTGGAAGACAAGGGTTTGTCTGTCAAGTTCCCACAGACGGCGCCAATTGTACGGGGAGCAAATATTCTGGAGAGTCCGTACTCCTTTCTTCTAAGCTCTCTACCTGTCCGATCGCCCTGCGAACACAACGGCGTTGAGCTAGCCGGTGGTGTGTGGCCGAAAAACCCCTTCGATGGTCAAGTTAGCACACACTCAGGTAGAGAGAGAGAAAGGAGAGTTGAGTGTAAGTGTTTTTCTCACCAAATGATCATCTGTCCCAGCATGAGGGGCGCAGACATGCTTATATGCCTTCTGCGCCCCAAATCTACTCCCATTAGTCTTTCGACACGTGGTGCTACTATCTCATCAGTCAGCACAAATCCAGCAATCACCACCTAACCAATCTGTTAAGGTACCTCGGCGGAGCTCGGCAGATCGGTGGAACCTCACCGGTTTAACCTGACCGTGCTGCGCGGCATACCTGTATGATCCATTCGCCATGCTCCTGTGTAACCGAGCTCGGCCGCATTCTGACGAGCCGAGCCCAAGAGAGGTAGGTCAGGTTAGTCGTCGGCCCTTCTGCCGAGCTAACGCGTGCCTCCGTGGAGTCCACAGAGGCGAGCGAACAGCCCAGCCGCACTCCCAGTAGACCAATTTCAGCACCAAGAAGCCAAGTAGCTCGGTCCACACATGCCCTTTGCCTTAACCGAGAAAAACCTTTCTGGACTGGCCCATGCTACCACGACCCAATTATGTTCGGCTCATAATCTGCCCGGCCGTTACCGCAGCTCAATCCAGCTCATAAATCTCCCTTTTAAAAGAGCTTGATCAATTATATACATAAAGTAATAACTCTAAAAGATTCTTCAACTGTCTGTGTCACCTCTTCACCAACATTCTCATCAAATTGTTTCTTTCTGCGAATGACACACTTTTCACGAAATACTGGATCAATTTCCATTCGAGTTCAACTTCTGTAGCCTCAATCATGGTATCCAAAAATCCAGTTTCTCTATGCTTTTCAAAAAAGGTAATGAGTCCTTTTAACTGAATTATAGCAACATCAATATGCATGTCTTTCCTTTGAAACATTTTGCTAACTGAGTTAACTGCAAACAATAAATTGTGCCAAATAATCATACCCAGCAAAAATTCAAAGTTCTCAATTTCATATGTTGTTAAAGACTCAGCATCACTTTTTGTATTGTGGGGTTCACCAATATTTGCCAAATGATTTAAAGCATCTCTTATTTGTGGAGCTTGATATCTTATTGCTTTAACACTTTCAACGCGACTTTCCTACCTTGTTTGTGACAATGACTTCAATGTGAGACCTTCCACATGATCTTTGAAAACTTTCTGCCGCTTTGTAGAAGATGAAAACAATAAATATATATATTGTAACACTCCAAAAAAAGAGATAGCTTTGGGACCAGAGTTAGCCATATCACAAAGTGCAATGTTAAGACTATGACAACCACATGGTATGTAGAATGCTCTAGGATTTATTTCAAGTAGCCTTTTCTGTACACCTTTGTGTTTCCCTTTCATGTTAGAGTCATTATCATATCCTTGTCCTCTTATATCACTAATATCAAGTTGGAGTGTGCACAATACCTCTTTAAGTACATTAAAAAGACCCAGTCCCGATGTATCATCCACCTTTAAAAATTCTAAAAAGAACTCTTCCACATTTACTTGATTAGATGAAACATTCACACATCTTATTACAAGAGACATTTGTTCTTCATGACTAATATCCAGAGTACAATTTGTTGGACAATCTTCACTGTATTTGAAGAATAAATAATGTTTGTGTACTTAACAACAAACAAAAGAAATAAAGAAAATGAGAGAGTTTGTTTGATTACAAAAACAAAATCAAAATTTGAAATAGAAAATAATAAAACAGAAAGTAAATTAATTACTTACCAAATTAATTTGTTGAACAAATTTTTGATCAAGTCCAGTGTTTAACACTGTATCCTTAAGACAGAATTGTCCTCTCCACGGTGCTTTTAGATTGTAGACCTCTATCTCCCAGGATAAAATGAGCAACTGCAAATAATAGAAGCACTACAAATTATTCGCACAACGAACACACTTTGTATTTACACTTTTTCTCACAATAAAATAATGCAGCAAAATATAGAGAGTAATTGCAGAATTTTGGATGAAAATTTCAAGTGCAAAAAACCAAATGAGGGACTGCCTATTTATAGATAGAGTGGTGGCTATTCGGTTTGAATTAAACAGGTACAAAACCTATTTGAACAGTTATAGAATCTGTTCGGGACAGATTGAATAGTTAAGACACTGTTTGGTTTGAATTTTAAACAGATATTGAATTTGTCCGGTTTTAATTCAAACAGATTGGAACCTGTTGGGTTTAAAATTAAACAGATATGCATATGTTCGGGTGGGAAAAAACTGGACAAATTTTAATTCAAAAAATAAAATTAATTTCAAATGTTTTTGGCCCAAAAAGATAAGTATTAGGCCGGACAAGCCCAACCCAACCTCACACCATACACCCGCGCCCGAGCCCAGGCCCAGCCCAGGCCCCCAGATTGACCAGACGGACGGACGGACGGCGGCAGCAGCGCGCGTGCGCGTGTTTATTTTTGGGTCCAATGGGTCTAGTCCAATTTGCCCATAACCTCTCTCTTCTACAAACTTGGGGTGCCCCTTGGGGCCCTCCCCAAGTTACAAATCCATGCCTTATGAACCCACATAAGTTTGCCCACCAAACCAATGTGGGACAAGCCTTAAACCAAACCTTTAGGAAATTTCACCAAAAACACCATTTTCATGAAGCTCTCTTTGACTTCAATTTCTTATTCACTCGATAATGGTTTTGAGAAACCAAATATATCACGTGAATTACAATGCGGCATAGAACACATTACCACTTAGACCTGCCAACTTTGACGCATGGGTCCCACCTAAAAAATAGACCAAAGTTGAGGAAAAATCTTATTTTCTAAAACCATTTCTAACAATCCCCTACATGAATGGAATTTGATGACAACGGAAATGCAGCAATATGCAGAATTTGTCGAAAGAGTATAAATTAAAAATATCTTGCATCAGGATAGGTAGCTTTCGGCCTTGAACCTTCCCTAGTGATAGCTTATCGGATTTACTAGCTAACCAATGGACGTGTTGCCTTGAATTGTTCAGCCGTTTGTGTAAGCTAAGACAATAGATTTCACAGAAAATATCTTCTGACACATCGTGGTTCTCACGGTTGTGTTCATTTTGGCCTTGAACGCATCTGGTTATTCATAAGTACTTCTAGAAAATTTAGCCTATACATTCTCATAGAACCAGCCCCAATTTGACACTTATATAGGTGATTCTTATTGTGAGTATCTCTTATACTCGTCATGTTTTTTATGCCTAAATCAAGATATAAGTAATCATTAAAAACAAAGCTTATCCTTAAATCCCTACATACAACACATGTTGCAAATATCACTCTCACCATAAGAATGGGTAGGGAATTTTAATCCCTTGGTGATTTCTGGTGAGCCACACATAACTTAGTTGTCCCTTTGAACTTAGTTCTTGGGATCTCCAGTCATATAAGTAGGGTTATCCTTATGATGACTCATATGTAATAGGCTTTAATCCCACCATCTTCGATGAACTAAACACTTGCTCTTTAGTCAAACCTTTTGTTAACGGATCCACAATATTCTCTTTACATTTTATATAATCTATTGAGATTGTTCCATTTTAGAGCAATTGCCTTACAATGTTATGTCGACGACGAATATGTCGTGACTTACCATTGTACATATCATTTTGTGCCCTGCCTATAGCAGATTGATTATCACAATGAATGCAAATAGCTGGCACAGGTTTTGGCCACATTGGAAAATCTTCTAGGAAGTGGCAAAGCCATTCGGCTTCTTCTCCTGCTTTTTCTAAAGCAATGAACTCAGATTCCATTGTAGATCGTGCAATGCATATTTGTTTCGTGGATTTCAAGAAACAGCAGCGCCTCCCAGAGTAAAGACATATCCACTAGTGGATTTTGAATCTTTAGTATCTAATATCCAATTGGCATCACAATAACCTTCTAATACTACAGGATATCGAGCAAAGTTCAAACCATGATCACGGGTAAATCTTAGATATTTAAGAACCCGAATGATCACTTTCCAATGGTCTTCTCTAGGGTTACTAGTGTACCTACTCAATTTACTGACAACATAAGCTATATCAGGACGAGTACAATTCATTAGATACATTAGGCTTCCAATGATTTGAGAGTATTTTAGCTGAGACACTGCATCACCTTTATTTTTCGATAAATAAAGACTGATGCCTACAAGTGTTCTAGCTACATTCATATCATCCTTGATAAATTTACCAATAATTTTCTCAATATAATGTGATTGAGATAATGCATATCCATCAGATGTTTTAGTAATTTTTATTCCTAATATTACATCAGCGACCCCCATATCTTTCATATCAAATCTTTTGTTCAACATTTGCTTAGTTGATTTGATCATGTTTTGACTGCTTCCAGTGATAAACATGTCATCTACATAAAGACAAATGATGACATAATCTTTGTCAGTGTTTTTAATATAGATGCATTTGTCACATTCGTTTATTTTAAACTCATTAGTAAGCATAACATGATCAAATTTTTCATACCATTGCTTAGGTGTTTGTTTTAATCCATAAAAAGATTTTTCTTTTCTTGCCCTGGCACTACAACCCCTTCGGGTTGCTCCATATAGATCTATTCATTTAGATCACTGTTTAAGAAAGCCGTCTTGACATCTATTTGATGTATTTCTAAATTATACAACGCTGCTATAGCAATAAGCATGCAAATAGATGCTATTCTTATCACAGGGAAATATGTGTCAAAATAGTCCAGACCTTTCTTTTGTCTGTAACCTTTTACCACAAGTCTTGCTTTATACTTGTCTATTGAACCATCTGCTTTCATTTTTCTCTTAAATATCCACTTATATCCAAGAGGTTTAGAACCAGGTGAAAGATCTACCAATTCTCAAGTATGATTTTTTTATAATGGATTCAATTTCATTATTAACAGCCTCTTTCCACAAAGGTGCTTAAGGTCTTGTCATTGCTTCCTTAAAGCTTTGAGGTTCATTTTCTAACAAGTATTTCAGAAAATCTGGACCAAAGGATTTTGATGTTCTAGCTCTCTTACTTCGTCATGGTTCATCATCAGTTGAATCTTGTTGGTTGAGACCATTACTAGTCTTTTGTGTTTGATTGTCATTAGTCTCTTGGCTTTGTGTACAATCATAAGTTCTTTTATGTGAACTTAATTCCTGTCCTTTCTTGTAAGGAAAGACATGTTCAAAAAACATAGCATTCATTGACTCTATAATAGTGTTCACATGTATATCAAGTATTTCTGATTTATAAGTCAAAAACCGATATGCACTACTATTCTGAGCATAACCAATAAACACCCAATCCACTGTTTTTGATCCTATCTTAGTCATTTTAAGAACATGAACTTCTACCTTTGCCAAACACCCCCACACTTTTAAGTATTTGTAGGAAGGTGGTCGACCTTTCCACAATTCATGAGGAGTGTTGTTAGTTTTCTTGTGGGTTATTCTGTTAAGAACATAATTAGCAGACAATATTGTTTTCCCCCACAAGTTTTGCGGTAAGCCTGAACTTAGTTACATGACATATATCATTTCTTTAAAGATTCTATTCTTCCTTTCAATAATTTCATTTTGCTGTGGAGAATAGGGTGCTGTAGTTTGGTGAATAATGCAATGTTGTACAAAAAATTCATTTAATGGTGCATCATATTCACCACCCCTATCACTTCTAACCATTTTACTGGTTTTACCAAGTTGATTTTCAACTTCAATCTTGTAGAGTTTAAACATTTCCAAGGCTTCATATTTACTTCTAAGTAATTATATATAACAATATCTTGTGCAATCATCGATAAATGTTATGAAATATTTTTTGCCTCCTCTAGTTTGAACAAATTTAAGATCACATACATTAGTATGAATTAATTCTAGAGGTTCGGTTTTTTTCTTTCAACCGATTTAAATGGAGCCTTAGTTAGTTTCGTTTCTACACAAATCTCACATTTGTGATTAGGATCAATTTCAAACTTTGGTATATAATCCAAACTAATTAATCTATGCAAAGTATCAAAATTTACATATCCTAATCTACTTTGCCATAAATTTGACTCAAGAATATAAACAAAAGATGTGTTATTCTTATTAATAGCAAGTTTTGGTACAACCGTCATTACATTCAACTTGAAGAGGCCATCACTCATGTATTCCTTACCAACATATATACCACTATTTGTTAATACAAATTTTAATCTATGCAAAGTATCAAAATTTACACATCCTAATCTACTTTGCCATAAATTTGACTCAAGAATATAAGCAAAAGATGTGTTATTCTTATTAATAGCAAGTTTTGGTACAACCGTCATTACATTCAACTTGAAGAGGCCATCACTCATGTATTCCTTACCAACATATATACCACTATTTGTTAATACAAATTTATTAGACTAAAAAACAAGTCTAAAACCATTTTTACTTAACAAAGAACCAGAAACTTAATTCTTTCGGATGTCTGTTACATGCAGCACGTTGTTGAGGATTAATTCCTTCCCCGATATCATCTTCAAGACTGCTTTCCCTTTTCCTGCCACAATAGAAGTAGATGAGTTTCCCATGTATAGTTGC